CACCTCATGTTCTTAATAGAAGACCCAGTTGACTAATCTGGAAAGATTAGGAAAATTAGCTAAGTTAGTTATTTATAATAAATAAGTATTGTCTTCTCTAAAATTTTCTTACTAATCATACAGATTAATTAGTTAGAACTCCTATTTGATAGACATCTAATATATGTAATTCCTATTAGGACTACTATAAAAATATATATAAATATGAGATACAGAATGAATTAGAGTATTATATCTATAATTATATTAAGCGAAAACTAATTTAGAGGTCCTTATAGTTTTCTTTCATTTTGAATTAGGTCTTTAATTTTTTTTAATTGAGTCTTTTAATTTTCTCCTGTTAAATTAGTTAGTCCTTACCGTTAATTATCACTAACACTGTTTAAAAATCTCTATTACCCCGTCTAACCAACCTCAGTCTCCCCTCTCCTCTGATTCCAAAAATGGTATTTGGAGGGGCTGAGTTGAATGGCAAAAGCGATAAGGGAGTGCGTGTGACCGATGTGCTCACGTCGCTCATCAAGTATACAAAGCAGAAAAGGTTGAAAATTTGGGCTTACCTAGCGAGGTTTGAGGATTATGGGGAGCCATGAAAGAGGACTCAAAAGGGGCACGAGACAGACGAGTGGATTCGGGGTTGGAGACATGGGTTGAGTGGAGAGAGCTGAGCTAAGGTTGGGGATCACTACTGATGAGATAGGAAGCGAAGAAGTAAAAGGAAAAAAGGAAAACTTGAGAAGCCATTTGTAATAAGAGTGAAAGCTGCTTCGTTCTTGTTGCGACTTGGAATGTTTGTGCAAGAGCTTCACCCTAACATAGAGCACTCAGTTCTTGGTGGGTCTAATAATTTGTTCCGCCATTGTGTTTAAAGATCAAAGAAAACGGCAGAGAATGTGAAAGGTGAGAAAGATGTGGAAGTATAAGTGGAAGTAGTTGAGAGAGAGCTGTCGGATTCTGGTCAGGAAGGAGAAGAAGTAGGAAGTAAGGAAGAGTGAAAGGAATGTGGAGGAGGAGAGTTTGTTAGCACTTCATTTAAGCATGAGTTCCAAAACTGGAATTAGCTGTCTATTTTGCAATGGAGGGAAGGTGTTCTGGAGGTAGGAAGCTGAGCCATTTACAGGGGGTAATGGTGAGGAAGAAGACAAAGTTGAGGATTGGGTGGAGAGAGGAGACTGAGGTTGATGATTCAAAAAGGCCTAACGAAGATTTGTTAACAGTGTTAGTCATAATTAACAGTAGGGACTAACTAATTTAACATGAAAAAATTAAAGTACTCAGCAAAAAGGAAGCAAAATCTAAGTATCTGATTCAAAATCAAAGAAAACTATAAGTACCTCCAAATTAGTTTTTCCTTGTATTAAACGAGGTAGTAAAGATTCATGAAGAAGTTAGAGAGGAGAGAGGATCTCACTCAGGTCGCGGACAGTGCCATTGACGGTGTAACCACGAAGAAGGAGGAGCTTAACGAGCCAGGAGGCAATAAAACCAGAAGCACCAGTGACGCACACTACTTTTCTCATTATCTCTTTGTTCTTCAATTTCTTCAGTGACTAAACCATCTCATTCTTTTTCTTCTTCTTAAGATTCTTCCACTGCTGTGTTACTGTGCTTCTTCTCTGTGCATCTCCATTATTTCCCTGGGACCATACGGGTCCGCTTCCAGCTGTGGAGGTGGATTGGACGAGGGAAAAGGACAAAGGGGTCCATTTTGCCAACACGGCTCAAACCAGATGAGAGAGAGAGAGAGAGAGAGAGTTTCAATAAATCTCCAGTTAAATGCTAAAAGGGAAATTATAACTAGATCCCAAAGTTTAATTTGAAATAGGTCTTCACCGTCCCTAAGGCTTGCTAGTTTTTTTTTTTTTTTTTTAACCAGCAAGGCTTGCTAGTTAAAACTTCATGTTTGTCTGTTTTAGATAATTTTGGATTAGTAGTGTTTATATTTGTCTGTTGTGATGTGTTTCTGTTTTTAGACTTTGAGCCCTAATGTAGTCCCGAAGCAATATCAGTTGTTACCATTTTGTTAGTTAAATAAATTGGCTTTTATAAAAAAAAATTTAATAATAATCATGTCTTAATACAAATATACATTCAACAACCTGTAAATCATTTTTATTTTCAGGTCATCCTATACAATTTATAAGCTATCATCTAAATTTTAGAGGCCAACATGATGTATAGACTAGTTGAGTTGTAAATATTTTTTAAGAAACTTTATTAATTATCATACTAGCTTGATTTCAACTCAAATAAGTAAATATGGTCAAATATTTTAATATCTTGATATCCAGAATGCTGGGGCATGGGAAATAAAGGAACATCAAACATTTTTACTAATAATAAGATGGCAAGCTAGTCGCTGACAGTGGCTTCATGACAAGAAATAATACGATAGTTCAAATTTTTGTTAAACTACAAAGAATTCTTTCCAAAGAAAATCACCGAGGTCATATGAAAAAAAAATTATAAAAAATGTTAAATGACAAATGAGCAGTATCGATTTTGTTATTCCTCTAGTCTTATCTTATTTATAACTATAAGATACTTTTAGTATGTTTCATAGAGTACATACCAAAAAAAAAATCTTAAATTACATTAACTCTTCACTAAGATATAACAACTTTTTAAATTCACCTCTATTTAATATATATTTAAAAAAAACCTATCTACAAAATAAACTTAAGTATCATTTTCTATAACGAAATTTATTATTTACTTATTTTTCGGAAGTGGTCTTATGCCGTAGTCCGTCCATATCTTTTTATTAGGAAACAACTACTGCTTCTATCGTATTCCTATTATAAGAAACATTTGTAAAATGTTTCAAAATTTCTTGATTAGTTTTCTATTTTATCCTTATTAATTATTTATTTTAATTCTTAATGTATTATTATTTTATTTTTCAGACTATCATCTCTTTTTATCACACATTCTCTCTCTTTCATAGTTATCTTTACTTTAATAATTTCCTTATTCTCTTTTATACTCTTTCTCCCTCATAAGTAAGGGCATTTTTGAGAAAAATTTATAATTTTTACATAATTATTTTCTTTAACTAATTTGTTTATGTATGTAATATAAAAAAAAGAAGTAAAAGATAAGTATATAAAAAAAATTTAAGGAAAGAAGAGAGTACAAGATAAGTATATAAAAAAAACTTGTCTTAACTTATATGAAAGTATTTTTTTAAGTAATTTTAAGAGCCGTCAAACTTGTCAAAGACTGAAGAGAATGAAAACTAAAGGAATGAAATCACTGATAGGTAATTACCATGCTCTTACCTAAAAATAATTTTAAAACAACATAAAATCAACTTATTACATGTCCTTCGCGTGATCGTACAATATAATTCCTCTTATTCATAATATAAGAAGTTGGCCCAAAAAAAATTGTAGTTCAAACTATAAGACGCTATTAGGATTACATTTGTGCCTATTAAATATAGAAAAGAAATGAGAGATAATAAAAACATGACATTAAAGGAAATTTCATCATTTTTCTAGAGATAAAATAAAAAAATTCATTATTTTAGGACATATTTAATGATTAAACTTTTATTTCTTAACATGTGAGAAAAGTTGGTTAACTTCTTATACTATGAACGAGAGAAAAAAATCAACTAGGCTCAATTTAAAAAAGCATTGTTTAACAATAATGCTATAGCATCTTAGGTACTAGCTGTACCACTATGTTACTATACATAAATTACTTGTAGGAAAAAATATTTATTTCTAAATATAAATTATATATAGTATAATTAATGACATTTTTCTAATTTTATATTAAATATAATAAAAAAATAGGTGAGAAAAAATGTGCTTACACCCTTTATTTAATAGGAGAAAGTATGAAAAATTATGAAGAAAAAGACACTAAAATACTCTAAAAAAAATACTAAAGGACAAATGAGAGTAGGTGAATTTCAAATTCTCGATTTAGATCCTATGTACTATTTTGAAATTTTTAAATCTTGTAAAATTACACATATGCCTTTTACTATTTTTTTAGTACTACCACCTCAACACTTCCAGCCACCAGAACTCCAGTAATGGCAACCCTGCTAGTGGCTAGCTGTCAAAACTCTGGTGACCAGTTGCTAAAATTCCAATGACTAATCTTCCCTATGAATTAACTTTTTTTTTTTTAACTATTGACTATATTTGTTTTTAAAACTCTGATGATTACTCTTTTTTAGCTATTGATTACTTTAGTATTATGATTGACTGTTTTTATCTTTAAAGTTTTGATAACTATTTTTATTTAGCTATTGATTACTCTAGTTTCGCTATTAACTGCTCTTATTTCAAAAATTTTTAAAATATATTAAGTGTTAATGGAGATCTAGTAACTACTTTTTGTTTAGTTATTTACTACTTTATGTAGTCAATAGTTAGATAAAAGTAATCACCAGAATTTTAAAAATAAAAGTAATTAATAGTTAAACTAAAATAGTCAATAATTATATAAAAATAATCATTGAGAATGAGGAGAGTATTGTCATTTCACAAGATTTGAAAATTCCAAAATAATGTTTAGGGTTTGATTTTGAATTTTAAAATTCACCTATCCTTATTTGTCTTTTTTTTTTTTTAGGATACTTTAGTGTCTTTTTTCCAAAATTTTATCAATTTAATACATTTTCAACATGGTATAAAATGGCTCATAGTACTCCCTCCATTCTTTATTATAAGAGACAAATAACCAAATCACGTTGATAAAAAAACAGTTAAAATTAGTTAAGGATAATTAATGTGTAAAAAGTATAATGTTTTTTTCAACAATACCCCTATTAATAAGGAGAGAGAGTATGATAGAGAACAATTAAATTATTAAAAAAAGAGAAGTGGGAGGGAGAGAGAGTATGAGTTGGAGACAAAATAAATAGGGGTAAAATAGAAAATCAATACAAAAAAATAGAGACAACTTTTAAGTGTCTTTTATATATGAAAACATACTATAAACATCAAATATCTCTTATAATAAGTAAGAGAGGGAGTATGTTTTAGCATATTACAACAGAGATATGGTTACAGACATTTAATAGTCAAAGAGACTTTACATGTCAGAGCTCAACGTTAAAAAAGTTTCTCTCTTTCAAGCTTTCTGCAATCTCTCTGAGGCCTACATGCAGCGGAATAAACTCAATTCCCAACGTCCTTGTCTTTTCCTTGGAAACCTGATACTTTGGCACTGAGGGCATACTGTTCACATGCCTGGCGAGATTTATTGTGAAGTCAAAAATTAAAATAAGCAAAACTCAAACAAAAATTTGATTACGAGTAATAATCAAAATCCACTATCACCAAGTTCAAGGAAAATAGTCTCAGATTCCAAACATATTGATAAGGAAAATTAGGCAAATACTCCTTTTGATTCAAAATACAAGACATTGTTAACCCATACAAATCAAGATATGTTAGTTTAAGTGCCTTAAATTGATGAAATTCATTCATTTTACCCTTATTAAAGAATATGATTGGAAAATTCTCTCCTCTCTTACATTTAAAACTCTCTCTCCTCTTTATAACAAGAAGTAAAAGTAAAAAGGTATGATTAATTATCCCGTCAAGAACAGATGGAGTATATCAGGGTAAAGTAGTACTTTAGTTAGATTTAACCAGGTGACAGTACAGATAAAATTGTAACTCTTCTCTATATAAACACGCTTGTACGCATTACTATTTAGAAAATATTATTCCCTTTTCATATACTTTTCTCTCTCCTCATCAAATCGTGTTACGGTATCAGAGCGGGAGTATTAGACTCCAATCTCATCTTTTCTATTTATTTCAGAGGGTAGAGTATTCGATTCCGATCTCGTCTCCTCCGTTTCAGAGTGTGGAGTATTCAACTCTGATCTCGATTACTTCATCACAACGATTATTCTTTCTTCATTCTAATTCTTTCTTGATTTCTTCCTCCTCTTATTTTCATCACAAGTGATTCTATTCCTAATTCTCAGACTTCTTCTCTTTCTTCTTCATCTACTAGAGCATTTTCTTCTACTCTTCTCCATGCTACTCAGAATGTAGCAAATCCACTTTATCTGCACCCAAATGACAATTCGTCTATTGTTTTAGTTTCAACAGTTCGGTCTGGCCCTAATTACCATTCATGGGCCCGGGCAATGTGGACGGCCCTCATGTCTAAAAATAAAGTCTGATTCATTAATTCAAGTGCTTGCCCCTATGGATCCGGTCTTTCCTTCCTGGGAAAGATAGAATACGATGGTATTATCTTGGATCACTTGTTCTTTGTCACCATCGATTGCACAAAGTATATTGTGGATTGATCATGCGTCTAATGTCTAGGAAGCGGGACAACTTCTCCCAGAATGGCATATTTCATCTGGCTGATTTACAAGAGGAAATCCACAGTTTGGAAGCAGAGCGACATGTTTGTAAGTGACTATTTCACAAAGCTTAAGATACTTTGGGATGATTTTCTCACCTTGCGACCTGTTATTCCATGTTCTTACTCTCCTAAGTGGTCTTGTGGTGCGACCGATCCTTTTAAGAAACATATGGATCACGATTGTGTCATTCGTTTCTTGAAAGGATTAAGTGATATTTTTGCTGTCAAATAATTAATCCCCTGCCTACTCTCAATCGTGTTTTCTCACTAGTTTCCCAACAAGAAAGGGCGCTAGGTATCTGAATACAGACACTATTGCTTTGTTGAGTAAGGCTACACGGCCTCCATTTGCTGGTTCGAGTAAATCGGGATCTTCTTCAATTAAGCAATGCACCTACTGTGGCAAAATGAAGCATATTGAAGCTACATGTTATCGTAAACATGGATTTCTTCCTGGCTTTAAGTTCAGGAACTCTTTCTGTGAATGCTATTTCATCTACTATTCCTTTATCTGGTAATGACTCTACTGATCCTCCTAAGGGTGTTAATCAATCATACAGTTTCACTCCAGAATAATATCAAAAATTGCTAGCTCTTGTTCAAGCTAACAAATCATCTCCCCAAACCTCAGCTTCTATTAATCACATCTCTGCTAATGGTACTTCTCATATCACTGCTCCTTCTTTCTATAACTCTTGGATAATCGATTCTGGAGCCACCAATCATGTTTGTTTTTCCTTATCTTTATTTTCTTCATATACTAGCATGTCTCGTATTCTTGTTAATCTTTACTGCCACTTATAGTGGCACAATCACTTTCTCTGATTCTTTCTATCTTACTGGTGTTCTTTATATTCCAGAATTTCATTTCAACCTCATTTTTGTTTCTAAACTTACTTTCTTCGTTGTGATGTTTCCTTTTAGAAATCAATTTGCCTCATAAGGCTCCTCTCATCATGGAAGATGACTGGTTCAGCTGATGTCATTAAAGGGCTATATATCATGAAGCACACTGCAGATTCAACATCCCATCTCATTAGTAATATCTCCACTGCTTCTGAATCTAATACACCATTTGATCTGTGGCATTTCATTTGGGCCATTTGTCCAAGAATACTTTACATGGTTTGGCTCAACAGTTTCCCTGTATTACTTATGATTCTTCATTTTCATGTTGTGATGTATGTTACTTTGCCAAGCAACAAAAGCTTCCTTTTCTGGTAAGCAGTACAAAAACTTTTAAAATTTGCAGTTTACTTTATTTTGATAAATGGGGTCCTTATCATTTACCTTCTATACATAGTCATAAATATTTTTTAAAGATGGTAGATGATTTTTCTCGATATACATGGGTTTTTCCTTCTTAAACATAAATCTGAGATTTCTACACAAGTTAAATATTTTGTCAATTTTGTTGAAAATGAATTTCATATATCTGTTCAAATCATTCGGTCTGACAATGGTCCTGAGTTTAATTTACCTGATTTTTATGGGCACCAAAAGTATCATACATCAAACATTTTGTGTAGAAACACCTGAACAAAATAGTAAGGCTTGCAAGGAAAAATCAACACATTTTAAATGTCGTTAGAGTTTTAATCTCATCTTAAAGTTTACTGGTCATATGCCATTTCTCATGCCATTTATCTCATAAATCGTCTTCCTACACCTGTTTTAGATAATAAGAGTCCTTTTGAAATATTATATAATCAAATTCCTGATTTTACCAATTTTAAGAGTATTTGGATGTCTTTGTTTTGTTTCCACTTTGACTGATAAAGGAGACTCCAAATGTATATATCTTGGTTTTAAACAGGGTACTAAAGGTTTTGTTTTTCTAAATCTTACCTCTAGACATGTTTACTTCTTTGAATCCATTTTCCCATTATTTAACTGTGATTCCCCTGCTTTATCAAACTCTATTCTTTTACCTTAAAAATTTCCTTCTCTTGACTTCTCTGATAATTCTCATACTATTTCTATTCAACCTGATTCCTCATCTACATCTTCTCCTCCTTTGCCTCAACCAATTATTCAACCTAGACGTTCCAGTAAACCCAAAAGACTACCTTCTTATCTACAAGATTATCATCATTCTCTTCAATGTGTATCAGTTGTACTGGATTCTATGGAGGCAAGTAATTATCATCCTCTTTCTAATGTCCTTTCTTACCATAAACTTTCCCCTAATCATTGACACTTTGGTTTATCCATTTCTATTGATGATATACCTCATACCTATTCTCAAGCTATTAAACACGAGGGCTGGTAGAAAGCTATAGAGGCTGAACTTGATGCTTTACAACAAAATAGAATCTGGGTGTTAACTGAAGTACCTCATAGAAAACGGCCTATAAGTTGTAAGTAGGTCTTTGCTACGAAATATAACACAGATAGTGGCTTAACCAAATATAAAGGATGTTTAGTAGTTCAGGGTTATACTTAAATAAAAGGTATTGGTTGTGCTGATACTTTTTCCCTGTAGCTAAATTAAACACTGTTAGATTGTTACTTACTCTTGTTGCTGCTGATAATTAGCATCTTAAGCAATTGAATGTCAATAATGCCTTCTTACATAGGGATCACAATGAAGAAGCTTATATGCTTCCTCCACCAGGTCTTCCTGTTTCTTCTCTAACTCAGGTGTGTAAACTATTGAGGTCCCTCTATGTCTCAAGCAAGCGAGTTGGCAGTGGTTCTTTAAACTTTCAGAAGCCCTTATTTCATGTGGCTATCATTACTCACAGGCAGATCACTCTTTATTCATCTGGAATGTTGATAATTCATTCACTGCATTACTTGTTTATGTGGGTGACATAATTGTGAGTGGAACTGATTTGAATGAGATTAATCAAATCAAAGCTTTTTTATATTCTTCTTTCAAGATTAAGGATTGAGGTGATCTTAAATACTTTCTTGGGCTTCAGATTGCTAGGAGTTCCAACGAAATTTCTCTTTGTCAGAGAAAATTTGCCTTGGATGTTTTATCTGACACTAGTTTTCTTGATTCTAAACTTGTGAAAACTCTCATGGATAGAGATATTAAATTGACTAAAGATTCTAGTCCACTTCTAGATGATAGCTCTCCTTATAGCACTTTGACTAGGAGGCTTCTATATCTTACCAACACAAGGCTAGACATTTCCTTTACGTCACATTAAAGGAGAACCAAGCCTTGGATTATTTTTTCTTGCAAATTTGGATATGAAGAAGAAAGCACTTAGTGACTCAGACTGGGCTAGGTGTGTTGATACAAGACCTTCCATTACAAGTTTTTGTGGTTTTCTGGATCAAGCTTTGATTACATGGAAATCTAAGAAACAATAGATCGTTTCATGATCTTCCTATGAAGCTGAATATAGGGCGCTTGCAGCAACCACTTGTGAGATTCAATGGCTTCGTTACTTACTTCAGGACTTTGGTATTCCTCATTCATCTCCGGGTGCCTTGTATTGTGACAATCAATTAGCAAGACATATTGCAGCCAATCCTACATTCCACGAATACAGCAAGTATATTGAGATAGATTGTCACGTAGTCCGTGAAAAGCTTTAGACTAGATTGATTCATGTACTTCCTATCAAGTCAGAAGATCAACTAGCATATATTTTTACTAAGCCCCCATCTCCTACTCCTTTTTGTACACTCATTTCCAAGCTGGGAATGATAAATATTCAATCTCCAGCTTGACCGGGGGGTATTAGGGTAACATAACTATTTTAGTTAGATTTAGTTAGGTGACAGCTGTACTGATATTTATGCAGCTCTTCTCTATATAAACACACCTCTTCGCATTACTATTTAATAAATATTATTCAGTTTTCATATACTTTTCTCTCTCCTCATCAAACCGTGTTAGAGTATAAGCACACTAGCATAAATCAAGAACAGTAACGCACAAAATTTCAGGGGGAAAGAAGAGAAAGAAACTTCACAGGAAGGAGAAAGCCGAAACATATCAGAGAGAAGAGGAGACTCCATTGAAGCCTTTGAACCTTGTTGTTAGAGAATCCTCCACAAACCATCCGCTTAGCATATATGTTAGTGAGATTACAGACTTACTCATGAGGGATCAGACTATGAGCTATGGGCACAATTAGAAAGACAAATTCGTGGGCAAACTGGCTGGTGATTGATGGAAACGACTCCAAATTTACTGTATTACGTAATGAAACAGAGAACAATCCACAGGGGAAATCCTAATGGAAGGATGTAATCACAGAAACTAGTGACCTAGTGCATTCAAGAGCACCACTCTCCTCATAAACCACTCATCATTTTTCATGCCTCTCTCATACCACTAGCCGTGACTTATATTCGTTTCCTCTCTAACTACCTGCTGGCTAAAACCACAAATACCCTTGTCACGCAACTCACACACACGCCCTCATAAACCGGGCTACATTTTGGCTTTCTTTCTAATATACGTATACTTAGGCCCATGCTCAACAGTGATCCAAACCCATGAGATGATTTTTGAGTTCATGGTGGTTCATGTATTTACACTTATATACTGAACCTTCTCCTTTAGGACTTTTGGTTTCTCTTTTTGTATGACTCATCATGAAAGCACTTCTGTTCCAAAAAAATAAGCTAAGCACACAACTCATTAATCCATAGTTGAACGAAGACACAGCAGGCCATTAGTTGTTGGACAACGCATCTCATGATGCCAAGTCAAGAAAATTTTAGCATTTTTGGCTTAATCGTGATGAATTTCAAAGCTCATATAAGGCATGGGCACATTCTTGGTCGTCCCTGAAAGTCATTCGCTTGAAGCAATGGATGCTTTTAGCTCTTCAAGCAATAGAGAAGGTCTCACACACAAGTCAGAAGAAACTAGATGTTAGCATGCCAATATTAAAGAGGTAACAATCCCTGAATAGTCTTTTTGCATACAGGGGAGGTGAATCTCCTGTCTGCGCAGCAAAAGAAGATCTAAATATGTGCATCGATGAAATAACAGAAATAGTTGACTTACTCTTCTTGAAGTTGTAATCTTGGATACAATTCTTGCAAGATCTTTGAAACCTCTGAGTAGTCTGCCACTGATTCAACCAAACAATATCTTCCATTGGCTGTGGGAATCTCAAGTGCTTGGATATGGGCATTTGCAACATCTTTCACATTGATCCATCCACCAGTGATCTTTGGTAGTGTTTGTGCACCTACATCAAACACGCATGGGAATAATGTCAATAACGAGTTACATCAAACAACCATTTGTATCTCAGCATTTTCACTCCTTTTCCCCTGTCAATTAACTGGAGCTGGAAAAAGCAATTTGTTTAAAAAGATATGAAGTAATTAAGATTAGGACAAATCAAATAGCAGGATTTCTGTACAGCATGATTCTTTTGATTACATGGAAATTACCATTTATCAGCTTTAAAATTGCAGCAGAAGATTCGTTAAGCGATGGCCGGAGGAGTGGCCCTATTACAAATGATGGGTTGATAGCAACCATGTCAATGTTGTTTTCTTTTACAAATTTCCAGGCAGCATCTTCAGCCAATGTCTTGGAAAGTGCATACCATTGCTGAAAGAACAAAAGGAAATTGAAGAGGATTGTGAAATAATGAGCATAATAAACATCGTATTTGCATACATTTGAAGTTGGGACAAGCACATTAGCGCAATTAACATTCAGCACACAAAATTTTTTTTTCTTTTTCCTTTTTTTTGGGGGGGGGGGGGCGGGGAAGAAAGGGATACAGTGATGTTATCATGTGAAAAAGAAGGGGGTTCATCTTCAGCCAAAGTCTTTGAAAGTACATACAAAAGCTGAAAGAACAAAATATTAACAAGAAGAAACTTGAGAGGATTGTGAAAATACTATGCATGTGTTGGGAATCGGATTTTAAGAATTGAATTGTAATCATTTAATTTTTTTTAAAAGAAAAATAAAAAAGGAGAACTGTTGAAATAGTTCAGCAACTCTAGGGTTAACCTCCGTGTGACATACACGTGTTTGATCTCAAGATTACAAGGACATTATTCATAACTGAACAATCAAACAATATATATTTTTTATGCAGAACAAATCTACTAGCAAAAATCAGAAACATGAAATCCCAATTCTTGCAGTATTCACAATAATCGCATGGGCCACCTGCATTATTACAAACTTCATTTTAATGTCAGCTTAGGCACATACCTCAGATTCCCTACAGAAACTTGGGTTTGAAAACCATGCCTCATCAACTACAACTTCAGGATCTCTAGGCTTTCCATTACATACAACCGCAGCCATGGATGATGTTAAAACAACTCGTTTCACAGATGGTGATTTTGCACATGATTTGAGAATGTTAAGAGTTCCCTTGACTGCTGGATCAATAAGTTCAATCTAAAAGGAGGAAAACAAACGTCAGAAGTTGAAATAAGGCAACCATATCTTTCAAAATAACTAAAATAGTAATTTATATGGTTATCAAAGTCGTCATTTATGTGAACTCATACAATTCAAACTTGAATATAATTATGTCCGAGTTTATACATGCCATTAGATACTAAATTGCTAATAAAAATTCACATACAAACACGTCATAAAATGTTGAATAGATATGACAGCACCTTGCCACTGTAGAGCCCATCAATAATCAAAATAAGGAGATCCAAATTGTTCCTGAGAGTAAAGACCTAAGCTACTTTCTTTTCTTCTAAAGTACATTTGTCCAGTAAAGAAGAGGCAAAAGACAGCAAATGTAGTGATGGCTTCGAACTTCCTGGCCTGTTAACCAATTATATCATGAATTGCAGTCACTTAAGACATGGTGTTCTGTTCTTTACTATGCTTTTGGCACAGGACTCCCAAATTTAGCCAGTAAAACACAATAATTGTGATACTTCAAGTCTAAGAGTGCAAAGTGAACTCATAGGATTATATCATCTTGATTGTTAGTTTATTATCTGCCGAGGCCAAAGAAAAGGAAAAGCTTCTGGAAAAAGCCAATATGACAGTCTATATACATGTATTTGGAAGATTAATAGCCTCTTTACCAGATACAATGACTATTCAATTTTTGGTTTTTTTTATTATAGGATCTTTGTGTCTTTAGGCAAGACTAATATCTGAATTTCTCATTTAGAAATGGAAAGAATAACTCGTCATAATGCATTGACTCTTCTCTCTTCCCCCCAACCATAAAGATAATGAAAAGCGCCTCTAAGATTCTTCAAAAAATTCGAAGCGTCCAAGACAGAATGCTTAGCTGAAGGCGAATGGCAGTCAACTTCAAGTCATTATCAACAATTTAAGAATGATAGGAACCTGTGGGTCTTTGACATTAGAAACAACGGGAGACGCAGTATGAAAGACTCCCTCACACCCCTCAACAGCTGTGTCAAAGGAACCTTCTTCCAGGAGATTTGCTTTAAACAGATGCAATCTCTCCTTTGCCCCATCAAGTTTAAGCAAGTGGTCCACTTTTCTTGAATCATCTGCAGGGAGTAGCAAAACCATCACTGCTTGGTAAAGTCTTATAACATCCTTTCAGCTAAAAGCAGGCCAGACATTTAAGCACGAGGGGGCCGAAATTAAAAAGTATGTATAACCAAAACTGGATAACATTTATACAATACTGAGAAAAAATTATTCCCTCGCCCCCAAATATAAAACCTAAACATAGTTTTTTTTTTTTTTATAATATCAATTCACTCTATCTTCCAAATTTATAATCATTTCCTGTAAGGTATCATTATTGATTATACGCATTAAAAGAGTTTTCATCAAGTATAATGTCAATAAACATAATTAAAAATAATATTTTAAGAAAATATAAATAAATAATTTAACTAACTTGTTAATCTCTGCAAAATAGTTATCAAAAGGTAATAAAAAGCCCATCCTTCCAGCACTGTTTCCCTTCTAATGACTGGAAAGCTAAAGCCAAAATTGGGTCTTCAACAAGCGTTCAATTACGCACAATCTGAAGAACAATTTCAGTAAATTCAAGGAGATCAATGTGAGAGAGCACTCACCTAGGTCGCGAACAGTGCCATTGACGGTGTAGCCACGAAGAAGAAGGAGCTTAACGATCCATGAAGCAATATAGCCAGAAGCCCCAGTGACGCACACCAGTTTTCCGTTTCCTGGGTTGCTGCTCATTGTCTTTCTTTCTTCTTCAATTTTGGTAAGGCCACCGTTTCTTTCTTTTTTCCAGATTGATCGAGGGTGTTCCCCTGTTTATCTCCATCATTATCATTATCTAGCAACAAGACGAATAGTGGGCTTGCCGGGTGAACGAGAGTAGTGCAGCAGACACGTGGTCCCACTCAGATTTTGCATCCATGGATTTTTATTACACAAAGAATCTGCAAATCAATCAGTTTCTGATAATAACGCTTTACCAAATAACATAGGTGATTCAAGAAAATTCAACGAAAGATTGCACCTTTTTGGATGCAGATGCTTCAGCATTGTTTAGAATGGCTATTATATTCTGCCTTCAAGATTTTAGAAGTAATTTACGTACAAGACTTTTATCTGAATTTACACGAAAGCATATTTTTAACAGTATTTTTGGAACATCACGTGCTTGCTTTCAAAAGATTTTTTTTTGGATAATACTTTCGAAAGATAATTTTAGTCAAGTCTAAAAAAAAGCTTTTTTTCTACCTACTAATTTTGTATATTATAAAATTACTTTTAAAATTAAAATTTGATTTTTAGTTTCCATCCAAATACTTTTATAGAAATACTTATAAAAAATGGCTCTAAACAAGTCTCTGTTTTCTTTTTCACCTCATATCATTTTATCTAAATAATAGATGAATAATTCATATCCAGTATATTTTGGAATGTAATATATATTTATACTAAAAATCTTGAATAAATTTTAATATTGAGCGTATATACACATAAACTTTTTTAAGTGCATAACATTTTAGTTAAATACATTGAAGTAACAGGTAATAATATATAAAATGAAATTTACTTATATAACTTAATTTCATTTCATCAAATAACAAACTAAAGTATATTAAAGTTAACAGTGGCCAAAAAAAAGCATTTAAAGTTAAAATCATTTAATCAATATATGTGTTTAATTAAAAAAAAATCAATATGATTGTGTATGCGTGTGCTCTGTTCTTTAGTTAATATTATTTCCTGTGCTAAATATAAGAATTAATTTGTAGTGTAAATTACATTACAAATTAGATTTTATATTTAAGACCATACTACTTTTGGTGTTCAGCTCAAAAAAAAAAAAACTACTTTCAGTGCTTAGCATAAAAGTTAGTTTAACATTTAATTTGGTTATAAATATAATATTTCTATTCATTTTGTTTCTCATATTTATCTATTTTTTTAAAATAATTTTTGTAGTAGTTGCATATGTTAAATGTTTTATCAAATAGTAGTTTTAATTAATATACATGATTAGTAAAGATATTTTAGAGAAGACAATTCTTATTTATTACAAAAAGGTAACTTAACTAATTTTCTTAATCTACTTAAATTAGTCAATTAAGCTCTAATGCAACTTTAGCCTTAGAGATTAATTATCATTTTATATTTACAATTCGAAAAAGGGTTAAGGTGCAATATTAACCCTACTTTTATTTTTCAGATATAATTTTGTCCCTGATTTTTTTAGTAGTACAATTTTGACTCTAATCTTTTTTTTTTTTGGCGTAATTTTGTCCCTCATGATCAAAATTACATCCAAAGATCAAAGACAAAATTGCACCCAAGAGAAAAAGATCAATGATAAAATTGCACATGAGAAATAAGATCAGAGGTAAAATTGCACTACTAAAAAATTAGAAGCAAAATTATATTTGAAAAATAAGATCATGGTCAAAATTGCATCTTAACCCTTCCAAAAATTGATAGGTCATCTTAAATATCTTTTTTTCCATATTGCGTCGAGTTAGTGTTAATAAAAGTCTAATTCGCAGTTGTGGCCTTTATTTATTATGAATATTTATGCAATATACTACTCTTTGTAATGTACGTTACTTGTAACATATTATCACATATCAAAAAATGTATTAAACTAATAAAAAAATTTTAATTTTACCCTTATTATTAAAGTTTTTGCTCCTTATATTTACAAATCATTTTCATATATCTCTTTCTTCTTTCTTTCTTTTCAACATGGTATGAAAAATCGGACCAGATTGGTGGGTTCAGACTGGAAACCTGCGAACCGGTAGAAAAAACCAATCCGGTTGAACGTGTGAACCGGTATGAACTGGACCAAACAAGGGTGAACCAGAAACAAACCAGTTGACATGACGGTTTAGTGGGTCACACCGTTGTTTTTAAAAAAAACAATCTCTGTGACAAAACGACGTCGTTTCAGTATTTTGATTTTTTTATAAAAAAAAATCCACTCTAACTGACTGGATGACGCATGAGCCCCCCCTCACCCTGTTGCTTTAGAGACTACTCCTCTTCCCTTCGTTTTCCTTTCGGTTTTCCCTCTCAATTTTCTCTCTCCTTCTCTCCCCTGTAAACCCATTTTTTGCCCTAGCTTCCCTCTTGTTTACTCTGCCACCAAGCCATTTCTTCTTGCATTTTCAGAGTTCAAAGTGGTGGTAGTTTCACCGTGGCTCATTCATGACTGGTTTGGGTTGACGGAGATAGAGTGCATTCAGCGTTCTCATTGACGGAGTTTAATCGCCGTTCAGAGTTCCACCATAGTTCAGAGCTCCCTCTTGTTTACTTTGCCGCAATTTCTTCTTGCATTTTTAGAGTTCAAAGTGGTGGTAGTTTCGCCATGGCTCCTTCATGATTGGTTTGCGTTGATGGAGACAGAGTGCATTCCGCGTTCAAAGTTCAACCACCATTCAGACCTCCAGCGCCGTCGTTCTGGTTTGTGATTTTTTTTTTCCAGATTGTGAATGTGGTTTTGATTTGCTCTGCTAGACTTTAAAGTTTCAATTGTGATTACTGTTTTTTCTGTTTCGATTGTGATTACTGCTCGTGAGCACCATTTCTTTCCTTTTCTTTCTCCTTGGACCTGATGAGAAGTAGAGCTAATGGGAGAATCAAGCAATGTAATAGTATTATAGCTTTCATAGTTTCATCTCATCAAATTCACCTTACCTCACACGACTGTATTGTCTATTCAGTTTATTTGCAAAAATTCTTCAATAGTTTATCTGACTTTATGGTCTAGAGTTTTTCATTTATTACTTTATACTTGTTGCTGTGATTCAAATTGCTTTATACTTGTTGCTCTGATTTGGATTATTAATTTGCTATGGGATTATTAATTTACTCTAGCTTTATGATTTTGCTCTGACTCTGCTTTAGTATTTTATTAATTTGTAGTTTTTATTAGATTATTTGGGTTGAGATTATTGATTATGGATGATACAAATACTGAAAGAAATGAGAATCTGAATCCCACTTTTGGTTCTGGTTCTGGTTTTGGTTCTGTAAAAAATAATCCAAGAAATGAGAATTCGAATCCCGCTTTTGGTTTCACTAATAATTCAAACAGCACTGCACCCTCATATGGACCCAGTAAAACTAATCCTACGTGGGCATATGTTTCCCTTAAGAAAGAGGAAAAAATAAATATCTTTCCCTGTCTATTTTGTGCATCAAGTTACAGAGGAGGTGGGATAAATAGAATGAGACAACATTTAGCTGGTGTATCTGGTCAAGTTTGTTCTTGTAAAAAAGTTCCCCACAATGTACGTGCCAGAATGAAAGAATCTTTGGTAGGAGGGTCAAAGAAAAAACCTGTTAAACATGTAGAAGATGACACTAAAGTTAGGAAAATTGAGGAATTGGTTGATTCACCTCCACTTAGAATAGGCATTGAGAGTAGTGGCAACAAGAGGAAAGCTCCTGAGGCTAGGAGGGTTAACAATTATTTTGCTCTTAGGCCAACTCTTGGTTCCCAACAAAATCTCAAGAGTGTATTGTCAACTAAAGAAGCACAATATAATGCCAAGATAGTTATTGCTCAATGGGCTATTGTTAGTTGCATTCTATTTAATGCATTGGATTGTCCTCTTTTTCAAAAAGTTGTTGATGTTATTACTGCAATTGGGCCTGATTTTAAAGCCCCTAATGCTTATGATTTTAGAGTTAACTTGTTGAAAGATTGGAAGAAGGAATGTCAATTACTGATTGAGAGTCATCATGCAAAATGAAAAGAAAATGGTTGTATGATCATGGCTGATGGTTGGACTAATGTTAGACAAAGAACTTTGATTAATTTCTTAGTCTATTCCATAGATGGTATGGTATTTGTCAAATCAATTGATGCTTCAAATATAGTTAAGGATGCTAAAAATTTAATTACTCTCATTATTTTGTGAAGTTATTGAGTGGGTTGATCTTGAAAATTTAGTTCATGTAGTGACTGACAATGCTGCTAGCTATGTAATATGTGGTAAATTGATTAAAGAGAAATATAAAACTATTTATTGGTCACCTTGTGTAGCTCATTGCTTGAATCTTGTTTTGAGAGATACTGCTTCTATGCCTCATGTGTCAAATCTTGCAACAAAGGCATCTAAAATCACTATATTTGCATATAATCATACAATCTTCTTGTCATGGCTAAGGAAAAGACCGGTCGGAAGGAAATTGTCCATCCTAGTGCAACAAGGTTTGCAGCTACATTCATTACCTTGCATCGCATATATTTGCATAAGCATGATTACTTGGCTATTAATAACTAAATAAGTATTTTGTGGATCACAAATTAGTAAGAACTAAAGCTGGAAGAACTTTCAATGCAATTGTATTAGACAATTAGTTCTAGAATGAATGTTACCGAGTTGTGAAGATTGTGTCTCCACTTATGAGACTTCTAAGGATTGTTGATTCGAATGAAAAACTCTCATTGCCTTATGTCTATAAAGGGATGCAAAGGGCTAAAAATGGAATTAAGGACATCTTTTAGAGGAATAAGGAGCTATACAAGCCTTACACTAACATTATTCAAGCTCGATGGGACAAGCATTTGAAGCAAGAACTTCATGCCGCAGCTTATACGTTGAGTCCTGTATTTTGTATAATCCAACTTTCATAAAAAAGAACAGATTGCAAAAAAAATTTGATTGATGTCTTTGAGTCTTTCTCAAATCTTGATTTTTGTACAATGATGCAGCAAGTGTTTATTTACCATGATTGTAGGGATTCTTTTGATAGATTTTCATGTGAAAAAGTAGCTCAAAAACTAGATCCTTGTAAGTATATTTCATATGATGTTTAATAGCACATGTTAATACATATTTAATATCAAATATATGAATATAACTAAATATCTTTTATTCTATTATGCAGATCAGTGATGG